TGAGAGCAGGAACAAATGTGAAAGGAGACAATTTAGAGAAGAACATTTTCTGTCGCTATCCAAATTCGAACCTGGGACCTTTGGATGATAGGCGAACACCTTAACCTCTAGGCCACGAGAGCCCCCGGACAGGATCTGAGACAAAGGCGACCCTGGTTCTCTAGCCATGTCTCAAAACGGATGCCGTCCTCACCAAGGTTATATTATGCGTAATATCGTGATTAAATCAGGTTCTTGTCAAATTAATGAAATCAAAGAAACAAACATTTTTGCCTCCCGTTAAGTAATTTTAAAGCTTTTTCCCTCTTTACCCTTTACGCTCATTAAAAAACACACTTCTTTGTGGATTTTACGAGGGAAGAAAAACGTTGATCAGAGGCACACGCAATGTAAATATGCAGTTTATAAAAACGTTCAAGTTTTGGAAGTTACCAGAACTTGGCTGCCATTTTCTCGCTTATTTTACCTCTGACACCTATACCCCCATCTCCTCTAATCGCAATTATCTCGACTTCTAATCAAGATAGAGAGATATGTATTTTTTCATCAAAAGTGAGATAACTGAAAACAACTTTAAGATGACATCAACAATTTTGTGTAACCAAAAGCTGACGTGATTCCATCGGCTTCGTGACACATATCCTTTTCTTGGCCTACCCCAGTCACCCATCGGTTCAAAGGTTTCTAAATGAGATATTCTTTTGGTTACAGTTTCTTGCCCTCGTCTTGATAACTGGAGACTTACCCTAGCAATCAGAATTCCATAGTTCCAGTTTGAAATAAGATGCTTGTCGTGGTATATTTCGGAGAGGTTAAAGATAGCGCTACCCTCCAACCCTTAAGTAAGTAGAACATTTGACATTAGAGTACAGCCATGTCCCGTGCTTCGAGTCATGTCTGTAGGGTTTTTTCCACCAGCATCTCTTGTGTAACGGTTAGAATCCTTGTCGTCGTTCGCCGAAAGCGTGACTTCGATTTCGGAGCCGGACATGAAAAAGAAAGACTTATCTTGAATCTTTGTTTTATTTCTGAAATCAAATGTGGGCATCTGTGTTCTGGGATATTCTGCCCGACTCAGAGAGGTTTAGCCCTAACAACAGGCAGGGTTGATTCATCCCGTTTTTAGAAAGAACTTAATTGTGTCGATCTGAAGGGGAAGTTGAGAGGGTCATAAAAAATAGGAAAAAAAAGGAAAGTAGGTTTAAAGTAATGTAAAATTTGTACCCCACCCCAGGCACTGACTCACTGAACGGACAACAATTTTTCCTAATTTTCTTTAGCTCAATAATGGCAAACACGTGAAATCAGCTCTATTGATATTTCTCAAACTAGCCATTCCTCTACCACCAGACATGTTAGAAAACCAATTTTGTTTTTTCTAATCTGAGAAAAACTCCGATCAAAACATGACTGTAGTTCGGTGAGGGTTCACTTTATGTATAACGAAAACTTGAAGACTTGACAGGGTGAAGGCAGTTCGTTGACCAAATAACCCCGGCCCATCTCTCGTGGGATTAAAATGAATAGCTTGTCTTGAACATGTTCGTATTTTGCACGGATGATGACTCGCCAGAAAAATAAAACCAACCAGCCAAACATACGGATCCTTATTATAAAGTGACGATAACGCAGTGGTTGAAAGTGGGATGTTACTTTATTTAATTATTTGTTACATATCAGATTGTGAAAGTGTTTGCGTGCGTTTGTATTGGTACCTTTGTGTGTGTATGTGTGAGTGTGTGTGTGGATGTGTGTGTGTGTGTGTGTGTGTG